GCAAATCCTCTCCAATGTTGTTCTCGTTGTTCCTCGACAGCTTCTGATGCACCTACGAACAACCCTAGCATGCATAGCCGCAACACGTTGCTGCTGTACAGGCCGTCACTGATCGTGCTTCGCCGATTTGTTTGTGGTGATCCTTGACAGTTCTGCTGGCTCTTTCCTCCTGTTTAGACAATTTATAAGTCAATTCGAAATGGAGCTCCTTCCATCGTTCGAACCTTCAATTCCGGCCTTACCATTCTTACCTACTTTCCTTGCCGCTGCTCCCCTTCCCTCTGTTCCTCTTTCCGTTCGTCCTCTTTTCCGATCTTCGTGCGGACGTGCTGCGCGTGTGGCGAGCGGCGGACGCGGTGTGTTTCGACGTCGACAGCACCGTGTGCGTCGACGAGGGTATCGACGAGCTCACTCCAAAACCCCCTCAGATCTTCTCCTTCCACCTCCTGTCCTTCCGCTCCCCCTCCCCTCCCGTTTCCCCTCCCCTTCGCTCCTCCCTCCTCTCCACTCCCTCTCCCTTTCCGCTCCCCCTCCGCTCCACTCCCCCGTCCTTCCGCTCCCCCGACCAGAAGTGCTGCGCGTGTGGCGAGCGGCGGACGCGGTGTGCTTCGACGTCGACAGCACCGTGTGCGTCGACGAGGGTATCGACGAGCTCGCCGCGTATTGCGGAGCGGGCGAGGCAGTAGCTGCCTGGACGACTAAGTAAGCCTTTTCTGTAATTTTTTTATCAATCAAGAAATTTTCTGAATGAGATAGTTCCAGGATCAACTTATTCTTCTTATGTGTTTTTCTTATCCGTTAACCATCCTCTGATGTATCTGCGGCTATTGAGAAGGCCTGACTGCCAGCCCTCAGGGCATCAATGGCGTCCGTTCCTAGCATGAGGCCGCTACACTGGAAGCATTACACACCCTGTCAGTCTCGACTTGACCGTTGCTCCGTTTCGCGGCAGCGGTTTGAGGCCGTGGGGTGACATGACCTGGCTGTTTATGCAAAATAAAAACGCTCATTCTCTAACTCTCTGCGAGTTACCAGGAACTGACTCTATTTCTCTTCTACCCTGCTCCCTTTTCTGCCCGGAACATCCAATTTGTTTTCCTGCCTGCCCGTACAGGGCCATGTCCGGGTCGGTTCCGTTTGAAACAGCTCTGGCCGCTCGGCTGGAGATATTTAATCCATCCGCTGCTGACGTGGCAGGGTTCCTCAGAGACCATCCCCCGAGGTATGTTAATATCGGACAATCCCCGAGTACTATTATGTTCAAACACCCCTCTTTTTTTTGTAGTTTTGTTGTTGATATCCTGATTTTGTTTTCACTGTCGCCTATTTTTCTTGTCTGTCGCCGTATGCATAACCTCGTATTGCATGCTGGTTGGTCTCGTCTGATCTGATATCCCTTGTATCTCCGTGCCAGGCTAAACCCCGGTATTGGCGAACTCGTTAAGAGATTAAAGGCGAGAGGAACCGAGGTGTACCTTATTTCTGGTGGCTTTCGGCAAATGATTGAGGTCAGTTGTGAAATCTCCCCGCTTCTTCGTTTCCGTACAGTCTCTCTCTCCTTTCACCCTCACGTGTATTCTTGGAATCTTGAAGCTCCCCCAAACACCCCCCCATCCCTCCCCCCCTCCCACCCCATCCTCCCCACCCGCCTCCATTTCGCTCGCTGTCCCTTGCTCCTCTTTCCGCTCTTCACCCCTTGCATTTTCGCTCCCAGTTTCCCCTTCTTCGGCTCATTCTCCCCTTCCTCCTTTCATGCCCCCCCCAGATTCCTCTCCCTGCCCCCGTTCCCCTTCCCACCTCCCTCCCGTTTCCCCTTCTCCCTCCTTGCCCAACCTCTCCCGCCCTCGCTCTCCTTCCCCCGCTACCTTGTTCCGGCCCCCTGCCCCCGATTCCCTCTCGCGCTCCCTGCCTCAGCCTGTCGCCGCGCTTCTGGACATCCCCGTTACAAACATCTTCGCCAACCGTCTGCTGTTCGATGAGGGGAGTGGCGCGTATGCTGGGTTTGACGCGAGTGAGCCCACGTCTAGGAGCGGAGGCAAGGCCAAAGCTATCGCGCAGCTGAAGCAGGTGAGAGTGGGGATGGGGGGGTTGGGATGGTTGGGGAGGGGTTGGTGGGGGGAAGAGTGGGAGGAGAGGGGGGACGAAGGGGGATGTGGGAGACGCGAATGAGCCCACGACTAGGAGGAGGCAAGGCCAAAGCTATCGCGCAGCTGAAACAGGTTGGAGTGGAGAGAAAGAGGGGTGTGGGGGGGGTTGAGGTGGGGAGAGGGGGGAACAAAGCAGGCGGGATGTGGGGGAGGGAGTTTGGACGCTAGTGAGCCCACGTCTAGGAATGGAGGCAAGGCCAGAGGTATTGCGCAGCTGAAGCAGGTGCGTAGGGAGAATACGTGAGAGGATAGGGGAGAGCGGAGCATGAGGGAAGAATTGTCTCAGTGGGTTCGACGCGAGTGAGCCCACGTCTAGGAGTGGCGGCAAGGCCAGAGCTATCGCGCAGCTGAAACAGGTGGGAATGAAGGGGGTGTGGGGGATTGGGGAGGAAGTGGGGGGTAAAGAGGGATGTGGTGGAGGAGCGGTGGCAAGTCAAGATCTATCGCACAGCTGAATCAGGTGAGTTGGGGAGATGATAGGGATAAGGGAAGAGGGGGACGAAGAGGGATGTGGGAAAGGGGGTCTGGGCACTAGTGAGCCCACCTCTCGATGGGGAGGCAAAACGAGAGCTATCGCGCAGTTGAAGCAGGTGAGATGGCGAGGGAGAGAGGCTGAAAGGGAGAGGATTTGGGAGATGAGAGCAGGTGAGGAGGGCTGCAGCTACAGCTGCAGGACGCATTGGAGAAGCAGCGGAGGGAAGTAGAAATTTGAAGTGTGAGTTGGAGGCACAGGTGTAGTGTAGCAGCTTGCGGAGGAGAGGGATAGGTGGAAGGCGGAAGAGGAGCAGCTGAAGGCAAGCACCTTAACAATTCTCGCCTTGAGCTGCTCCCCTTCCGCCCTCCACCTCTCCCTCTCCTCTGCCAGCTGCTCCGCTTGTGCCTTAAGCTCGCCCTTCGAGTGTATACTTCCCTCCACTATTTCACCAGAGAGTGTCCTGCGTCTCGCAGCTGTTGCTGCAGCCCCCGAGTTCGATGCAAGTGAGCCCACCTCTTGGAGCGGCGGCAAGGCCAGAGCCATTGCGCAGTTGAAGCAGGTGGGGGTTGGAGAGAGAATGAGGGAGAGGAAGGAGGAAAGGGCTGGTTAGCATACGGGGGATGTGGGTGTTAAGGTTGAGGTAGGGGGGGAAGAGTGGAAGAAAGAGGGAGGTGGAGGAGGGAGGTTTGACACGAGTGAGCCCACCTCTCAAAGTGGCGGCAAGGGCAGAGCTATTGTGCAGTTGAAGCAGGTGCGGAGGGGGAGAGAGGCAGACAGAGAGAAAGAGGGGGAGAATATGGTGAGGGAAGAGGAACGAGCTGGGCATTGGGTAGGGGGTAAAAGAAGGGGGGAGAGGCAACGGAGGGGGCGAACAGGTTTTCGTTGTTCAACATTAGCCCATCCTCCATTTTATTGTTTTCCTACATTAGCTCAGCTTAAAAAGGACCACATCCTTCATTAACTTGTTTTCTATGTTATTCATTTGCCCAGCATCTTGGCCTCTGCATGGTTCTTTCGCCCCACATGCTTCCCTGTATGTGCGCAGGAGCATGGGTTCAAAGCACTGGTCATGGTGGGAGATGGTGCCACTGATCTAGAGGTGAGCATTCCCCACGGACTTGTGCCAAAAAAGTGATCATTTAACCCTGTTTATTCATTCTGGGTAGTTTGGTCGGCGTAACCCAATGTGTTCCATGTGTCATGGAAGCAGGCGTTTCTTTGTCGTAACCATGCTAACCTGTCTCTGATCGTAGCAGTTTCTTCAATGATGATTCCAATTGATCATTGCATTTATGAAAGCATTACTCAAATCGTAACTTGTGTGTGCCTGTGTCCTTTATGTCTTTTACAGGCTCGGCAACCAGGTGGAGCTGACATGTTTATTGGGTATGGAGGGATTCAGGTCCGGAAAGTTGTTGCTGCCGAAGCTGACTGGTTTGTAATGGACTTCCAAGACCTGATTGATAATGTGTAGCTTTCAGTATAGTTATGAAGGTGAACGTGGATCCGTCTAGGTGCATAGATATATAGGTTATGTCTACAAGAACCGGCAGTTGGTCATACAATGCAATCTCTAGCACGGAGGGAAGATCATTGCAGTGCAGGCTTCCTTATTGTGAAAGCCATACAGGTATGTTCTATATGACCATGTTTTGTAGAAGGGCTTGCCTTGCCACTGAAAAAAAACCAATTATTTCAAATGCAAAACTCTTGGTCCCACAATGAGGGAGGCACCTCCCTGCATGCAAGACCATTGACACAGCACCAGAAATCCTCCCCACCACTGACACTGCCACTCCAGCTGCCTCTTCTTGCTTCACCTGCTCCTTTTCCCCTTTACCAATTGGGTGTGCAAGCAAAGCCATTAACAGGTACTGTAACACCCTTGCCTGCACCAGCAACAATCAAACCCCAAGCAACTCTCCTATATCCACAACTCTCCCTTTCCACGCCTCGCACAGCATCAGCTGACCCGCAGCCCACCTCTCTTGCCCGTACCCGCCTTCTGCTGCAATATAGAGTTCGCCGCTTGAACCACTTAGGCTTGGCTGACAGTGCAGCTTTGGAAAATCCCGGCCCAGCACCAGCCAACCCTGCAGCCGCCCCTTCGTGCCCCTGTCAACCTTACTCTGCCGAGTTCAAGAGTTCACCGCTTGAACCACTTAGGCTTAGAGGCAAGCCCTGCCTTAGTAGCCACTTGCCAGCACCACTACCCTCTTGCACCCACCGTCCTAATGCTGAGTTCCAAGAGTTCACCGCTTGAACCACTTAGGCTTAGAGGAAAGCCCTGCTCTGGAAGACCCTGGCCCAGCACTACCCGACCCTGCAGCCGCCCCTTCTTGCCCGTCTGTCAACCTTGTTGAGCAGAGATCAAGATGTCACCGCTTGAACCACTTCGGCTTAGAGGAAAGCCCTGCTCTGGAAGACCCTGGCACAGCACCACCCGTCCCTGCAGCCGGCCCTTGTTGCTTCGCCTCTCCTTTGCCCTTCTCGTCCTTTTTCTCAAGTGACCCTTCAGTCAACTCTACAGAGGACAGCTCTGGTTGCGAGGGAACGTCCTTTAGTGCAAGAATATCCGGGTGTAAGAGGGATGCTGGTGAGGAGTCGGACGTGGCCTCTGGAGGGGGTGGGGACACGGGTGAGGGGGAAGGGTAGTAAGGAAGGGTGGAAAAAAAGAGCGGGTTGGTTGGATTGGAAGCGTAGCAGTGGGGAAGGGATCCTCCTCTCCTTTGCCCTTCTCGTCCTTTTCCTCCACCGATCCCTCACTCGACTCTACAGAGGACAGCTCTGGTAGCGAGGGAACGTCCTTGAGTGCAAGAATATCCGGGTGTAAGAGGGATGCTGGTGAGGAGTCGGACGTGGCCTCTGGAGGGGGTGGGGACACGGGTGAGGGGGAAGGGTAGTAAGGAAGGGTGGAAAAAAAGAGCGGGTTGGTTGGATTGGAAGCGTAGCAGTGGGGAAGGGATCCTCCTCTCCTTTGCCCTTCTCGTCCTTTTCCTCCACCGATCCCTCACTCGACTCTACAGAGGACAGCTCTGGTATCGAGGGAACGTCCTTGAGTGCAAGAATGTCCGGGTAAGAGGGAGGCTTGCGAGGATAAATCGGAAGTGGGTTCTGGAGGGGCGAGGTGAGGGACACGGGAGGGGGAAAGGGTGGGGAAGAAGGTGGATTGTAAAAGTGGTGGTGCAGTTCAAAAGGTGACCACTTGCCCCCCTCGTCCGTTGCCGGTTGAAGAGCCACCTACGAGGTGACTTTTGAGTCGACTCAAAAGTCACCTTGGAAAAGGTGACCACTTGCCCTGCTCGTTTGGTGTCTGTTGAAGAGCCACCTGCCAGTTGCAGTTGCAGCAATGCGCCTCGAGTGAGCTGCATGCAAGATTCCTTCCCTTCGCTTCACAATTTGTGAATGTCTGCTTTAAATTGCACTGCAAATGCGCTGACTGACACAACAGCCTGCCAGCTGCAGAAGAGTCAACTGCCATGGACCACAGTTTTCAGAGTGAACCGCACGCACTGCACAAACCCCTTACGTTCCTCCGTAATTCAACCGTGTGTCAATAAAGCAATACACTCTGCCCGCCCATCAATCGCACCTGCTGCTAAGGGGGATTCAACTGCCACGTGCAGCAGTGCGCCTGGAGTGAGCTGCGCTCAAATCCCCTGTCTTACTGCTTACTCTGTACCTCAATCACACTACGAATGCAGCAAACTGATCTGCCATGCCATTCACCCCACCTGCTGCTGCAGAGGATTCAACTGCCACGTGCAGCAGTGCTCCTGGAGTGAGCTGCGCACTGTACAGATCCTCGTCCTCGTTCTTGATCCTTCGCTTTGGTGGTGTCGTGTCTGTTGAATGGACAGAGACAGCAATAGAAAAAAAAAAAAAAAAAATGAATTGAGGGCAAGTGTGCTTTTAAAGGGGGTTAAGAGAAGTGCGCCGCCTGGAAAGTCTGTGCAGATTCTTCTCGCTCTTGATCCTCTGCTTTGGTGGCATCGTGACTGCTAAATTTAATACAAAAGCATATGCATTATGAAACGGGACAAGCATAATGATGAAACGATTTTGAACTGAATAAATTCGGCAACACCAGATAATAGTAATAACAGCTTCCTGAATAAATGAATAAATCATTTATATATATATATAAACGATACAAAATTGGAGTAAGTAAATTAAAGAACACAGCACTCACAGAAGAAGAATGGCAGGTCCGGCTGTAGCAGGCACTTGCGCACCAACTGCCGCACTGCTGCTACAGCATCTGTGGGGGAAAAGGCCGCCTCAACCACTGTGTTGTCCGGAAAACGAACTTTGATGATCGCCTGGAGGATTTGGGAGGGGTAGAAAGCAGTGAACAATGGAGACTGTAGACTAAAAACGACAAAACTCTGAAGTAAAGGAGGTGAAACTGAAAAAGAAGTGTACATTGATAACAGCCTGGAGGGGGCGAGAATGCCTGGGGTCATAGAAAGGAAACGGACAAAGGGAATGCAAAACAAATCAATTAAGGTGGAGAAGTAGTTAATGCGATGAATCTGCTCAAGCATCATTTTTGTCCTCTTTTACCACATTCTCATATCCACCTTTGCCTCACCTGTTTGAACTGCGCCTTCCGCTGTTGCTGCTCTAGATCCCGGATGGCTTTGGTCTCGATTTGAGGCACCTCAATACTAGTCTTGCCATTAAATCAAACCACATAACCCCCATTTGCCCATACCTGTTTAAACTGTGCCTTCCGTTGTTGCTGCTCTAGGTCCCGGATGGCTTTGGTCTTGAGAAAGCGCTCTGCAGGCAAGAAGATATCGCACGGCCAAGATTGGACAAGGGAGAGCAGGGAGGGCGAAACGAGCAGGTGGTAAACCGTCGAAATTTTGGATATATCGGGTCTTGATATTCTGTATGCAGGAAATGGATCAAATACACCCTCCTGCACGCACGCACCTTCCTTTTTTCCCGCCATCAATCTCGAATAATCCTCGGGCGTGAACTCGTAGAACTTATTAGGACCTTCCTTTTCCCAATCTGTCTGAACCAGCAACCTAAAAACAGATCAGACACACCTTCCTGGACGCACCTTCTTTCTTTCCCGCCATCAATCTCGAATAATCCGCGGGCGTGAACTCATAAAAGTCATCACCAACTTCCTTTCCCGCATCCGCCGCTTGCGAGCCTCCCTCCGCCGTCGCCGCTAGGCCTCGTTCTCTTTCCCCGTCGCCTGCCGTCGCAGCTGCGTCGCTTTCAACCGTCGCAGGAGTCGCAGGCGTCGCAGCTCCGTACGTAAAGACGCGAATTGGACGACCCAGCGTCGCTACCATGTCAGGAACGCTCGACGTCATGATGGGGAGATTGTTTCTAGCGTGTCGTATGAGCGACAAAAATACTCCAAATCACGTGAAATATCTCCAACAACGTGATCTAGATTCAGGTCTGCTTGGCCAAACGAATTTCAACGAAAGGATTGTTACAAGCGTGTTCTAAAAGCACAGGTCTACTCAGTCTACATGACTTCCAAACCGACCCAAAAGTGAGTCATGCAAGACTCTATTAGTCACGACCCTACTTTACAGAAACGGAATCAGCACAAAGGCGTTATGTTTCTGTAAGATTCTTGAGACAACTCTTGAGGAAAAAAAGGTTGCGAGAGGCTAGACAGAAACGTTACATGTGTAATACGACCACCCGCGGTTAACTTCAAGTGCTACCAGCTTTCCGAGATCCCCGCTCCTTACTGCTACTATAAGCTCTGGTGCCTTCTCGCTAGTGAAATGCTGCGGAAATGGGTTACGAGCATGGGGAAAGCAAGCTCGCGCAAATTGAGTGGAAATGGCGAAGATGTTCCTCGCTAGTGAAACACTCGCTTCCTGTACATTGAACAGTTGATGAAGTCTTACTGTTGTGTTTACTTACATAGATTCGTTACATAAAGACATGTAATATAGTGGATCGAATAAAATGCAATATCCAGAACAGGAAGCAGCACTACACACTGCTAGCTGCAAGAAAGGATTTACATGCAAAGCATTTGAAAAGAAACAATGACTCCATAAGCAGCAGTAGCTGCACATGCACCTATAGACCACCAGGAATATGCCATAGCAAGAGGGTGTGGCTATGTACAGTCGGATGAAGTAGGCACTGGTTGGAGCATTGTTGAGCCTCTGAAGCTGCTTCTTGTCATGTGACATACAACATGTGACATGAGACATGTGACATGCTGTCTCGTGTCCCATGTCCAATGTCACATCTCACATGCCACATGGCGCTTGCATGTCAAAGGTCACTTGTCCCAGAAGAGGTAACCCCCTGAAACTGCTCCAGCCAGCACTGGTATGGCCCACCAGCAACGAATTCTACTGCAGACGATCCAGTAACTGCAGGAGATTGCTGCGAACCTTGTCTGGTCAGCTGCACCCATCCCCTTCACCCTCCTGTTCCTTCCTTCCCATCAAATTCCCCAGCTCCTTTTTAGCAGCAATGGTGGATCAGCTTAAACTGGCCAAGCCCCAACGCCTTCGCAGCTCAACAGCGAAGAAAATTACACGCTCGTCCCCTTTCCCTCGCCACGCCCATCCCCATGCCTGTCGCCATGCCTGTCCCATGCCTGTCGCCACGCCTGTCCCCATGCCTGTCGTTGTGTCTTTTGCTATGCCACGGCTTCTCCTCGCACCAGCATTGAGGCGGTTCTGACATTATGTACGCGCGCGAAGTGTGTTTTGCTTCGTTATCCTCGAAAATCGTCACTCACACGAGAGGAGACCGCTGAGGCACACCCTTCCGTCGGCGATTGCCCGTCAGGCTCGGAGTTGACGGCGGGGAGAACCCGAGCCGCGGCGGCGATGCCGGCGAGCCGTCAGGATACGAAAACGGCGACGAGATCGGCACGAGCTGCGGGAATTTTCCCGCGAGAGGATATTTCTCCACGCGGACCCTCTTTCCTCCGCCGAATCCGCGCTGGCTCCAAACGAACGACCCGTCGCATTGTCCGACAACGTCACCGTCAACGTCACGGTCGCCAAACAGACGGTCGTCGTCGTCGTCTGCCACGAGAATCCCGCCGCTGTCCGCGCCGCCGAAGCTGTCATCGATATTGTCGTACTCCACAGAAGCAGCTAGCAGAGAAACTTCCGGGGATGACGTCGCCGTGTTCACTTCAGGCGTAACGCGCTTCTTTCCTGTCGTTCTCGCCTTCTGAACCCACGCAGCGGACGCAGGAGACGCATTACCATTGCCGTTATCCTCCCTCCACGCGTCAGCATTCCCGCCTGCCGCCGCTGCATTGTACCCATTCGCCCGGTGTGACGTGGCAGGACCAGTTGCTGACGCACGCTTCGCGGCATTCGCCCCGTTACACCCGGCGCCATGTCCTCCCGACGTCGGCGCGACCCGCGGAACAAATGTAAGCGTAAAATCCTTCGGAACAGCAGCGAGTTTGCAGCCAAGGGAGCAGAACCGGCTCGCGTCGAGCAGCATTCTCTCGCACGTTTCGCAGTAGAACGGCGCGCCTTTCACAGGGCGAGCCTGCGGCCGGCCGTTGAGGAAAACGATCTTGGCGCTGTTGATAACGTACACCTGAATGTGCGACAGATCTAGGATTTTCGTCAGCTCGTTAATTCGCACGCACTCGTGGTACGACGAGCGGCGGATTTGGAGAATGTTGTGGGGTTTCGACGATTCGCCGCCGGAATGAACCGAACCTCCGCCGGAATGGTTGTGATGACCGGAATTGTGGCTGGAATTGTTGGAATGCTGCTCCGTAATGCAGGCGGTGCATATGGATTCGCCGCTGCACGTGACGCAGAAATAATTTCGCTCGGCTCTGCCCGCACCGGCGTGTCGCGGGCAGCTCGTAAAATAGCGGCCGCGGAGCAAACGAGGGAGCCATGCGGGGCAACGGCTGGGGTCGTACGATTCGTGGGAATCCATGGCTATAGAACGTCTGAGTGTTTTCAACGATAAACGGCTCTTGTAATGCCGAAACTGCAACGGTAAAGGGTTCTTGTAATGCAGCAACTGCGACGATAAACGACTCTTAGACGAAGGAACTGCACGCGGACTGCGGACTAATGTAATGCGGGATTCAACTGAAGGACTTCCCTAGCAAATGTGTAGCAATTTCTCATCGGAAATGTGGATGAAGAGAAATGAGAATGGGAGGGGGTTTGAAGCTTATGAAGGGAGGAGATGCACGGCAATCCGAGGAACTCCGGGTTTTCCTAATGTAATGGAGCGAGGGACGGCTGAAGTGGTGGTTGCTTCTGCATAAAACTGGCGCAACTGTCGCTCGGTTGAACAATCAGGTGGATGTGAAAGGCGAGGATGAGTGAGTCAGTTACCTAGGGGCTGCGGGGCGGGGAGTCCTGCAGATGCAGACTGCCAGTTGGTTTGCTACTGAAGGTGTGGAATGGGGTGGGATGCAAGTGGGTTCTGGAAAGCGGCGCTTGGAGGTTGCACTATGTTCGACCCTTGAGAGTTTTCGCCCTCTACAGGTTTCTCGTGCCGTGCAGCGATTCCGCGACGAATTTCGAGGTTGGTTCTGTGGGATTTAATACGGTAAAGACTTTAGTACAAGGTTTTTATTTGGTTGGTTTGGGTTCGGTTGTGCAGAACTGCGCGGGCAGTTGCATTCCGTTCCGTTTTCGTACTGTCAAATGGGGTCGCGCGGCTGACTCAGCTGATTGCATTGGCTGCAGTGGCAGGGGTGGAAGCGGAGGCAGGCGGGATGGAAAATGGAACCTCGAGGAGCACACAGGGGGCGAGCAATCCCCCAGCCCAGGTGAGGCACGCCATGCCGCACAGGAGGAGAAGACGAGGGAGCCCAGTTGCTGGTTGGCTATGATTTTGGTGAGCTTTGCGACGAGACGCGAGGGACGAAAGTGCCCCGAAAAATGTCGGCAGCTCCCACCTTGGCTTGCGGTTGTGGGGTTTCCGCACGTGCATACATCTGAACCGTCGATGAAGGCCAGTAGAGAGTTTTTTGGTGACGTACGAGCGGTCGATCTCGAAAAGTTCGCGGGATCTTTCACCTGGAGAGGGGTAGGGTTCTGGATGGAGGGAATTTTCATCTACTGTACGTCCGCTGTCTCTTGGACTTCACGCATGCGATTCAATGCATGGAGGTTTGGGTTGCTGTGTGGTGAAATTGGGCACTTGAGTCCGGACGACTGGAAAGCAATCGAAACTTCCGCCACAAATTGACCGTGAACTCTGCCTTCGCGAAGGACCAGACCCGACATGCGTCGCTAGCGAAACTGAGGTTTTCTGGTGGCGAGGGACTCGCTCGCAGCCAGCCGTCGGCGAGTATGTCAGTCTGCGACAGCGATCCCTGGAATTGACCCGTGAGTGGACCTCGGTGGTTGAGAAACTGACAGGCAACTTGACAATGTCGCTCAGTTTGGCGCGCAGAATGGATTGTGAGATGCTCAAACCCTACAGTCCCCCCGCGCTTCGTGCCCCTCGTTTTCTCCGTCCTCCTCTGCCAGGTTCTTGTGTCCGAACGCCACATCAGCGACGTTGATTTGGAATGATCGCCAGCCAGGGTACCCGATGACGTCAGGTGTCTGCCGCCCGATCTAACCTGAAACGGACTCTTGCTTTCACGATGTTGCTCACGACGCGATCCGGGAAATGGACGACGGGATACCTGAAAAAATGGACCTGTTACAACTTCCCAAGCAGGTCAATTGGCTTGCCAGCCTAGCGGAACCCTCTCGCGGTTCGCGCAAGCCCAAGGTGCCCCTCACTTGAGCTGCTGGAACTTCCACTGTGGAGGACCTCCCGATCTGACGTGACGTGTGAAAAGCGCCACTGTGGCATTGCATCCAGCATGCAGCAACCTTGAGACTTCAGGCGACCACTGACCACCGACAACTCGACGGGGAACGAGAAGGGTCTTGAACTGCAATGACGTGGCAGAGTCAGAATTCACAAGACGCGTGTAGCGGTACACCTAGCCCGCGCTATTTTCACGCCCTGCAACTTGTTTTAAGAAGCACCCTGAACCCGATTTCGGCTTTGACCAGTAAACTCCCAGAATTTGAAGGCTACAAACCACTCAGCCAAGTGTCGATCTATTAAAACAAAACCGCACCCTTACCACGGCCAGTCGACCATAGTTTATTGCGACCCGTTTTTAATCCCCTCTAACTCGTATGAGATTTCTTAAACGTACCCTCTTTAAAACGATAGAATTCGAAACAGCCCTTTCATCTCGGGTAAATCAGAAATAATTACACAGGGGGGTGAAAATGGCCCTAGTGAATTTGGCGCGGGTTAGGTGTACTGTTTTGCACAATTATCTCGCAATGAGCATATCCTCGGTACTAGAAGAGCCGCCAATCACTACCGAATAAACAGAGGGTCACACCCAGAATTACTTCATGGAAAGGATGCTACACACCTGTTGGTTTGCGACTTCCTGATCCTGCTAGGTGTGGAATGAAAAATCAGCTGCTCGTGTGGAAGATTGAAAGACTAAGGCCATATGACATTACCCAGTAACAGACATATCGCATATGAAGACAAGCAGCTAAGTGGCAAGCAACTAAGCAAGGTGAAATATGTCCCTGAATTGTGTTTCCAACTCAACAGTGTTCATAGCTTCGATTTTCCTGACCTGGAGGCTATAAACACTTTCATATTCTCGAAATCTTGCGGTGTCATCTGCTTGTAGTACGCCCGTGCTCTTTCCTGAAAGAAGGCCAAACAGATGACATTGAGGGAATGGATGGTGGGGGGATGAGGGAAAAGGATGACTAGCGAAAACTGAGGGCAGGCCAAAGTACCAAGGAGAGGGGAAGAGTAGGAATGGAAGGAAGTTAGAAAAAGGAAATTGCAGGAGTACGGGCCTGAGAGGAAAACGGGAGGGCTTACTGTTCCTGACTGCTATCCTTTGCCAACCATAAGCATGATTTTATCATGATATGTCTTGTAATGAAGCACCAAGAAAAAAAATCACCAGCAATACTTCTGGCAATAGACGAAACAAAGGACTCTACCTACATTGCAGGTCAGCCCCATGCCTTGTAACAGATCACCATGCCATGAAAATTACCACCAATATAGATGCATGCATGCCTTCACTGAGAGTCAGCCCAATCCCATCATTGATCACTACCCTGTAACGAAGCACCATGCTGGAATGGTAACCACCAAGACTCTATGTACCAGAAAAAAAAAAAAAAAATGATTACTTACCGTTTCTAGCTGCCTGCCTTCACTGAGAGTCAGCCCAATCCCATCGTTGATCACCGCCTTGTAGCGAACCACCATGCCAGGGTGATTGGCAGCAACAGTCTTGGCAATGGCTATTGCCGTCGGCATGAGCTGGTCTGCCTCAACCACTCGGGACAACAGACCCCACCGCTCCGCCTTGTCTGCGCTGATTGGCTCGGCCGTTAGCGAGACCTCCCGCGCCCTGTTCACGCCTATGAGGCGAGGAAGCTTCTGCGACAGGCCCCATGATGGGAATATGCCGAACCTGGGTGCCGTTTGGGAGAGAAGTGTGGAGACAGATCAGAAGCATGCTGGGTTGGTTGGCAGTGGCAACCGTCTTGGCAATGGCAATTGCCGTCGGCATGAGCTGGTCTGCCTCAACCACTCGGGACAACAGACCCCACCGCTCCGCCTTGTCTGCGCTGATTGGCTCGGCTGTTAGCGAGACCTCCCGCACCCTGTTCACGCCTATGAGGCGAGGAAGCGTCGTCTGCAAAAGGCCCCATGATGGGAAAATGCCGAACCTGAGGGTTGGTTGGGTAGAGACGAACGGAAGCAGCGGAAGATCAATGGGAGTGTGTGTGACCGCAGTCCCTGATAATTGCAGAGACCGCTCCACACCACAGAGCTATGCTCAATACCCCGTAAAAACTCACTTATTTGCTACGCATGGCAGCAGATTTTGGAGTACGTGCAGCACACTAGAACGAAACAGGGCAGACCAGTCTCTTGCCCTTGTTCCATATAACCTGTTACCTCACTCACTTGTTGCGCGTGTAAGCGAATTTCACGTGCGTGCTGCAGACGAGAATGTCACAGACCAGAGAACTTTTGAGTGGACCCAAAAGCTCACTTGGCTCACTTGGCTCAATACAAGCTCACTTGGCTACATGCCCCATATAAGCTCGCTCACTTGCTGTGCGTGTCAGAGAATTTCGCGTGTGTGCTGCCGATGAGAATGTCACAAGCCAGGGCGATCTCAAACCCTGCAGTGATGGCATGGCCGTTGATGGCTCCTATGATGGGCATGGGGCATGCTCCACACCCCATACAAGCTCTCTCAACTCCGTACCGCATACAAGCTCACTCAGCTCCATTTGAAACGTACAAGCTCACTCAACTCCATACCCCAGATAATCCCACTCACTTGCTGAGCGTGTCAGCAAATTTCGCGTGTGTGCTGCCGATGAGAATGTCACACGCCAGGGCGATCTCAAACCCCGCAGTGATGGCATGGCCGTTGATGGCTCCGATGATGGGCATGGGGCATGCTCCACGCCCCATACAAGCTCTCTCAACTCCGTACTCCATACAAGCTCACTCATATCGATTTGAAACGTACAAGCTCACTCAACTCCATAACCCAGATAATCCCACTCACTTGCTGTGCGTGTCAGCGAACTTCGCGTGCGTGCTCCCAATGAGAATGTCACAAGCCAGGGCGATCTCAAATCCTGCAGTGATGGCATGGCCGTTGATGGCTCCTATGATGGGCATGGGGCATCGCTCCATCTGGATCACAACATCTGCCTCTTCGTCAGTCACGTCCCCTTGAAACACGCTCTGGGCCGCTGTGAGGTCCTGCCGGAGAACAAGGAAGGAAGAAACGAGTTTGCGAGATGGCTACATCTCCACCACCACTCTGTCTCTTCATCAATCACATCCCCTTGAAACACGCTCTGGGCTGCTGTGAGGTCCTGCCGGAAAACAGG